GTGGGTACATAGCAGAATTAAATCCCTAAATTACTTGCAGCATTGAAAGGAAGTTAACCATAGCCATAATGAGCTCAGTTTGGGTTGTTAACTTGCATTTCAGCTTTGTACTTTTTTCTTTAACTCCCCCTTTTATTTTTTTTTTTTCTTTGAGATTTCCCATCTATAAGAGTTTTGTCACAATCTGCTCTCTTATGAGAGTGGTGGCTCATCCTTCTGGAGCCTTTCAGTATTGCTGTAACACCTATTTTTTTAGTCAGCATATTTGTCAGTCAACATATTTGAGGATTTTCTAGCACTAAGATGTCTACTTGAGCTTTCAGATTTTGTGTACTTATCTGAACTAATCTTCTATTCCTTTGAAGTGTGTCTGTTTCTAATATTAATTCAAATTATGAGTGATTTCAGTATGAAGAATTTTTGGTAAGAGTGTATTAATAAATGTGAACTTCAGACTTTTTAACTGGAGGAGGGTTGAAGAAACCTCCTGTGCCAACTTTTCATGCCTCTTCATTAGAATTTAGTCATGGTAATAAGAAAGAAATTAGATAGTGAAAACTCTGAAAAGTAGGGGATGATTTCTTGCTCTTCAATCTTAAGAAGGCTTCAAATAAACCCTGTTTCTGCAGGGGAAAAAAAAAAAAGTAACCTAACTTATTCCAGGCAGTATGAATTCCAGTTCATTTGTTAATAGTGTTCATTTGCATGTAGATAAAGATGTGTTATGTGATTTTATATGTCATTCAATTTTAAATTCACTCACATGTGTGTTAATAAAGTAAGGATCTGGAGAAGCAGTGTCTATTCTGAAATGAAAATATTATAACAGAGGCTAAATGGCTTTAAAGTTATGTTTTTCTTGTTTCATAATATGTTATTAAATTCCCTGTCTCCTACTAAAGTAGCTGGAAAACAAACTGGCCACTACTTTAATTTCTCCTTTTTTTTCTTAACAAGATGATATTGGTATCCAACCCACAGTTTCATGAGTATTTAAATGAAACAGAAAAACAACACTGCCTGTGTTTATTTAAATTAGTTTACATTGATCAGTATTTTAAAAACTGTAGTACAAGGCAGTGTACAAACTGATTTCTGCATCAAAGCACTGAGGCAAACTACAAAATTGACTTCTTCTGTGGAATCTATGAAAAATGGAAAATCTCAGTTATGAAGGCAATAATTTAACTTGAGTTAAATGTACACTATAGTTCACATCACTAATGGATATCTACTTGGTGTTTTGAAAAGACTAACTTAGCAATTAGAAAGCAATTATAAACCCATTCAGGTGGAAGACAATTTAAACTGAAATAGAATGATATTAATTGGGAGCAGTTTAAGAACATTTAATTAGATGCCCCCAAAGCCCCAGTTCAATAATTGGAAGGGAAAACCATGCAGTTTAAAAAAGAAGCCAGCTTATAGAGGAAATAAGCTTTATTTTAAAAGAAATCCTAGAGAAGAAGAAGAAGAAAAGGTAGAGGAGAGGGTAACTTGCTAAGAGCCTGTATTATCATAAACTGGTAATTTCATTTAGAAGCTACTAAGTGGAAAAAAATAACAGAAAAAAAAGAAAAAAACCCTAGTGACTAGTGAAGCAAAGGCTCATATCTTACTTTGTAAAGGATATTAGCAACATATATACCATTTGATTCTACAGCTAGCTGAAATTCTTGGAAATCTCTATAATAAGGGTTTTGTTTTCAATAGCTATTATTAATCTATATTTGTGGGTGTGGTGCCAGATAATCCCATAAATCTTGATGAAGAAGGAACAGTTGTTTCTCAGTTAAAGCTATAGTGACTGATAACTAGCTTCCCAATCAAACCTTCAAAATTCCAGAATATATCATATAAAGACTTAAGGAGCTTCAGTGCAGCCTGACATATTTTCTGTCATTTTTTTGATAATGGTGGAAACCTAAAAATAATTCCTTTTTTATCATGTTCACAAGCAAGTTTTTACTTGTTTGTTTTTATGGGAGATCCTGAGAGACAGAAAGTGTAGTGGAATTTTTAAATGCTTTAGAAAAGATAAAGAAGAGACGAATTGTTAAGGTAGAAAAGGTCACATTTGGACAGATCTAGTTTGAGATGAAGCGACTGTTTCTAAAATGCGATGTCTGAAAGGAAGAAGACAAGAACTAAAAAGGAAAAAAAATTACCCCTGAAGACCATTCTTATAAGTGTAAATCTGAGCTACAGAGGTGATGGTGAAAGAAAGCTGTCTCATACCAACATACATACACTACAGCTCATGTAGAAGGTTTGTCCTGCAACTTAAAAATCAGATTTGTCTTTTATTTGTGAGGATGACTTGGAGGAGCCTTGTATTAAAAAAGGCTTCCCCGCTCCTTTCTAGCCAAATCCAAAGTCTTAGCTTTGCAAAAATGTATAATGAACCATTGCACGGACGGTGATCTTTGGGTATCTTTGAAAGTCACAGTTTTGATTCTGATTCTATTCCAAGTTGCCTGATTCCTGTTCATTCTCTGAGAATGTTGTGAGGCAATCTGCATTATTTTGGTTCCATTAAATTAGTCCTCAAGCTCTGTAAAAAGTGTTTCCTAATGCAGTAAAGTTTTTGTAAAGATGGACAATAATCCTATCATAGTATTAAATCTTGGGATGTGCATTGCATACTCCTTCTGAATGTTGAAGTAAAAAATTATCATTACTGAGGAGTTGGCTTCAAAAATTTTATCAGCATTTGACTGAAGAAATCAATTACCAACAGATCAATGTGTTTGTTTTATATACATTGTGTCTTATTACCCTCCACACTTTTCTCAAACATCAGAGCCCGCCTTGTAGGACTATCCAAAATTAAGAAGATGAAAGTATTAAGAAGCAGGTATTTAAAAAACACTGATTTCTGATGACCCAAAAATCTTTGGAAAAGCTGTATCTTCTGGTTTCACTGTTAACATAAATTTGAGTAAAAGCCTGTTAGCTTCAGTTTAAGGTTCTTGCATGACCTATGTTTGTTTCAGGTTGTATTATATAAAAACTGGGCAAATTAATATTGAAATGAAAGTACCTTTTTTAGTTTCCCCACAGAATCAAATGCTAGTGCTGATTTTCTAGACTTGCTGCATGCAGAAGCAGATGTAAGAAATTTGCATGTGCTTGCACATTGTGTCTGTGCAGTCTTGATAGTTGTGTTGTCAGCATTAAACAGTTGTTGACATAAGAATTGGAATGGTATCTTCTAATTTAAGAAAGAAAAATCATATAGTCTATGTTGTATTCTCCTGGTAAGTTAGCAAGAGGCTGTTGGTGTTCAGCCAGGAATTTACAGCCTTCAGATAAAGCATGTGCCTTTATCTGTTAGGTACAGTAGAGTCTAAAAGATGTTACAGGAAATAATTGACTGTTTCTTCTTTTTCAGGCTGAGTTAGAGACTGTCAGAGAGCCTGTGGCACCTCTCAGACAGCAGACACATGGGTAGGAAGTTTCAGTGCTCCTGCCAGGGAGGACTAGGGGGGACTGTGGTTGCTGCTCGCCTCAGCTTTCCCACCTCCACCAGCATTGCTTATCAAAGCCTTGCAGACCCTTCCCTGGCTTTCTAGACTATTTCTCTTCTCAGGTTGCTCCTCCTCTTCCTCCTCACTTGGATGACACCAGCTATGGTATAGGTGTAAGGTACAAGGGAATAAAAGACCCATCATGTGTGGGGAAGGGGAGAAGAAAAGGTTAAAGCTGCAAAATGGTGGTAGAAATAGTGGTGGAATTGTTAAGACAGAAGGGTACATAGGAAGGCAGGTAGAAAAGTGCCAGTGTAGGCCCTCTGGACTCAGTATTTACCTTTTTTTTTTTTTTTTTTCCTGAAACAGAGTTGTGTATTTGTCCTTGTCTTCTTATTGCTGTTTGTTTTTCTATCATTTTACAACTTGATTACTTTTGCTTTTTGTATGACATTTTGAGTGGTTTTCTCTGGGGAAGTGTCCTCACAATACCTCAAGTGGATTGTTTTTAAAAGCTGTATTGTTTTCAGGCTATGCCTGAATAACTCCTCCTTGACATATTTACCTTGATAAACAAGCTTTTTTAGAGTCCTGCAGAATATTTCCCAGTAGAGCAGCAAAAGCCCAGGATGTTCCCTGAAGGTTGCTTTGTTTAATGTCAACTTCTTTTCAGTTATCCAAATTTGTTTATGAATTAATCAAGGAGCACATTTTTTTATATCCTTATCTACTCCAAATCATGGCTAGGTAATACCAAAATTGGGACTTTGGGTATTGTTTCCAGCTGAAGCATGTGATAACTTTAATACTAACAAGCCTATTCAAGCACACTTCTCATGAGAAAAGTAGTCCTGATAAAATAGAGAATATTGCCTCAAAATAAATCAACTTTAAAGTAGTAGTAACCAATAATAAACACATTTATAATATTTCAGTATCCTTTCAGGAAAAGCATATGCAAGCAGTGCTTATGAGTATCCTAAATATTGAGTGAGATTCACTGGTAAAGGGCTCCATGGAGGAAGCAGGTGCTTTGTTTGGGTTACTCATAGGTTAAAGAAATCCATGGCATTTTTGTGCGTTGTTTTTTGCTAGTTTCCCCTATCTGGAGGAGGGCACAGGGAGGTGTTGGGTTCTCAAACCAAGTGCTATCTGGTTTGGGAGTGTGGAAATGGCAAAACAAATTAGGAAACACTCCTGCCCTGAAGGTCTTGTGTCTCCTTGTGTTAGAGACAAGAGTGAGTCCTGTGCAAATTGTGATTCATTTTGCCTCATATTGAGCACGTGAAGGAAATCTAACAGGTTTCGTGCATTACTCAGCAGCAGAACATCTTGTTTTATTTATGTTCTGATCTTCCAGACAAGGTCTGTTAATGGAGAAGGGCATGTAGACCAAAACGTAACAGAAAAGGATAAAAAGAATGGGGTGATGGTGTTTTCTGGACATTCTTTTTGGTGGCAATTTTGAATTTGTTTGTTCAGAGTAGTTTTGTGTGATTATTGTAATTCTGAATCTGCTGTGTCTTGTAGGTAACAAAGCAACTCAGCCTTTACTGAGGGAGAGATTCAGGAGTGACCAACTGGGGCAGATCATGGCAAGGTAATGGAAAGCACTGGCACCCTCAAGGGGAGCAATGTCCATGGCATTCTTGTCTGAGATCTGGGAAGGCAGTATTTAAGATGAACACAGCCCTATGTAGAAAGTGCACATTTGTACACGGGGTAAAGAACTATGATAACATCTGAACAGCATGGTTCCTGAGAAAAACTCTTGATTCTTTTCTAAATGTCAGGAGAACTTTGTGTTTGTGTTCTGATGACATAATTTTTCTCTAAGTAAATAAAAGCCACCCTGGTTTGTGTCCTTATTTATTTATTTTATATTTTTCTTTAATTTGGCTGGCTAATTTTGATGGGGTTATTTTAAAAGAATGTATATTTTCTTGGTACAAAAAACTTTTTATCTTTTACACATATTTTCTTTAAGGTCTTTTGAGGTCATTCAGATAATTGATTACATCACTGAAAGTGGGCTTCATTATTTGTTATTAGTTTAGATTTGCCTATTAGATTTTACTTCATACCAAAATTACTGTTCTCAGGGTGATTAGGGGATGACAATGGAAGATTTTACAGCTGATGTTTCAGGAGTTCTTCACCTGCTTTTCAACCCTGACCAATATATTAACCAGTTATTTTCAGTATTTGTGTAACCATCAGGTGTCACATCATTTAAAGAGAAAGAAAAGTAAACAAAATAATCTCTGTAGACCAAAATGGACAAGTCCCATTTAGTGTCTTTGTTGTACTTAATGGCAGGAGCAAATGCTGTCTTACAGACCCAGAGGAGTGGGGAGTTTTGGCTGACTGATCCTGAACAGAAGATTTAGTAGAGCAGAAAGCTTTGGAAATCTGTGTTCAGGAAACTGTTTTTTTCTCTCCTATAAATGGTCTTCTAAATTAAATTTTAATTTAAATAGATCATAACTTGGTATGTGTAAGACAATGCAATTGTCATCTCTGTCTTCAACAATTTCACTTGCAGAGGTGTGAAAGATAAAATGTTGATCTTTAAAGATGAGAGAACAGCACTACTATTTTGTCACATACTCTTCTGATCTTTACAACAAAATTACAAAAAGCAATTTGCTTAATAGTTGTGCACAAAGCACAGAACTCTTTTAGTTCTTGTTTATTGTTTCACCTGTGTACCCATCAGTACTGCTATACCAATTGTGTGTTTTGAACAGATTACTTGAGACTCATCTGTAAGGGCGGGGGGAAACTCTGAGGAGACTACAGGCATTCTTTCCTGCCTTCATAAGTAGAAGAGACAGGGAATCTGGGTGCCTCTCTTATGTTTTTTCAGATATTTGAAACTACTGTAGTTTGGAATAAATTTTTCATAATTTCAAATGCACTAAGCAGGGGAAGATTAGCTGCTGGACTCTGATGTGAAGGTTTGCACTCATGTGTAGTACATTCATATAAGCTCAATAGTTTTTGTTGTGGAAGTGCCCAGAATAAATGTTAAATATCAGAGTTTCCACTGTTGACCTGTATGAGGACAGGCTCCTATGTTGGTTATACAGTAATTGTAAAACAGGCAGAGTACTCTGGGCAATCCTTCTGCAATGCATTTAATTCTTCTGATGCAATAGGATACTCAGCATAGCCCACCCCTGCACCAGGTCTGCTGCAGGACATACCAAAACCAGCAGTGTGTAGCTTGGATTGCATTTTGACATGACGCCAGAGCAGCCCTCCCTCTTCTGCCTTTGCCTGGCTCGTGGGCTCTGCTTCAAACACTTGTGCCCATGTTTTATAAACATCCAGATGAGTCATCTCTTCAGCTGTCCTCTGAACTGATCCTTTCTGTTTCCTATCCGCTTTTGACTAAGTGCTTTATTTAAATCAGAAGTAACTTGTTTGGAGTTGAACCTATCAGAGCAGCTTTGAGAAAGAGAGGATTTAATCCAGGATGAAGGGGTTGTGCCAGCCAGGCTGAGCTGGCCCTGTGCTAGCCACTGTTGGCTGGTGCTCAGGGCCTCTGGAAGCGCCCTTGCCTTCGCCACTGTGAATTCCTGCTGGATTACGCGTGGCAGGCACTGCAGTACTTCAAGAGGTGGGATGACTTTCCATGGAACAAACTCATGATTCTTCAGCATGGCACAGTAAATCCCCTCCTGGATGTGGCATCCAGAGCTGATAGATGGAGCTTGTTTAGTACGTGTTGAATTGAGACTGTCTATCACAGGGCTCCATCTTCTACTAGAACTTGCTATTAAATTGTGGTAGGTCACGCTATTAAATTACTGCCATAAGGGATCCAAACTCAAGAAAATTACCTTCATGGTTATACCAGAGTAAGTAAAACTCTTTTCCAATGACACTGAACTACATCCAAATGAAAGTTTTCTCAGTCTTTTACCAAAAGTGCCAAAAAAAAAAGAATTTCAAAGCTAATTTTTATTAGCTTATGGATTCAAAACTTTAAGTTCATGGGCACAAGGAGGAGGCAGATAAACTGCAAGGAAATAAAAGTATTCTCCATTGTAACCTGTCTAAAAGCTGTTTGTGGCATGTTTCTTGACATATGTTTAGCATACAAGTGAATTATTCTGCCCTTGGTTTGGTATAATGGATATTTTGAAATTAGATGTTGTTGTTGCAGCAAAAGAATGGTCTATGTTTCAGCCTCATTCAAAATCACTGAAGAGAACAGCATCATCAGATCAAACAAAAGCAGCTCCATATTTAATTTATAAGCCTTAAATAACTTTTCCATTTCACAGGAACCACCTGTAGACAGCTAAGGTCCTTGCTTAATAGATTTTGAATTTCAAAACACTTCCTGTGTGATAAAATTCTCATAAAAAAATTAATTCAGTAATAAAAATTATTTTTATTATTTATTATTATCTTGCTTTCTTTCTACGGTTTCTTCCAAGTGCTGACTTATTTGCTGAGCTGTAATCTTGAAAGCTTATACTTATGTATTTTATTAGTTTGCAAAGCTATTATGGATTTTTTGCATCCCACTAGGAAAGTTGTTGTTGCTGTTGGTTTGATATGTGAACACTTAGGCTCTTTCACAGCTGGACCAAAATTTTTCTCAGAAGAATAGATAGGCATGTTTGAAGTACTCCCTTAAGCTTTTTAAATATTTTTTGAGTTATTATTTGCTCCTTCCTGGAAATGTCAGCTTAAAGGGAATATATGTGAATTCCAGTCCATGTCAGTACAGTCTAAAAGGGCCTTGTTGTGTGCTAGTACAAAATGTAAATGCACTTTATGAATAATAAACTTTACTTATTAGTGCCAGCAGGACAAAAGTAAAATGGAAAGCAAATAAAATTACTACTTAAATATCAGGCCGTGGGAGTCTACTGCCTTCACCTCAAGATCAACTAGGCAGGCTAGTTAAGGAATAATTAAGGAAAATTATGTTCTCTAGTATGATCTTTGGGATTGCTGTTTTCTGTATTGGTCTAGTAATGAACCCTGAGAGAATTCCAACAGAGCAGAGAAACAAAATGCGATCCAATTTGTTCTCAACAATTCTCACTTATTTCATAGTTATATATTACATAATGAGCAAACTTGGTGTTGGTGTTTCATAACATTTCGACTGGAAGACTCTAAACTGATTTTGCAGTATTCTTGATGAGATTTTAATGTGAGATATTCCAAAGATGATTGATGTCTATCCTCCCCTACATTTGTAGGGAGGGAGCTACTCTTGGAGGTGAACTAGTGCACTAGTTCCATGACAAAGGATAAGTGCTAGCGGTATCAAAATAATCCTCCTGGGAATTACATCAGTCTTTTGGACATTGTCAAAGACAGTATTAACAAATACCCAAAGGCATTATGTTATACAGGCATAAATGAGAGTACACAGTCCCAAAATTACATTAAATGGTACAAAATAACAATGAGAAATCTTTTAAATTATTAACTTTTTTGCCTGCCTGAACTATTCCAGAAGAATATTAGAATCTGGGTAGTAATGCATAAAATCAGTGTATTCCAAGCAATTAAATTTCTTTAAAGACAGAGTACTTCACTGAAAACTGTTCATTGTCTAAACAGCAATTAGTTTCCTAGGACTCCAGTCTGTACCTTACATTATCTGAAGTGCAGTGGAATTAGATTCTCAACTTGCAAAGCCACTGTATTTTTGGTGCTAAACAGTTGAGTGAAAGAGAAAACCACACCCAAGAGTACATTATCAAAATTAAGTGTTTGTGATGATATCCCTTTGATGTTTAATCCTGTATAAATAAGCATGATGAAAAAAACTCAACCTTTCCTGAGCCTTGAGTTTTTTCAGTTCATAAAAGCGTAAGTTGAAAAGTGGCTGCACAGGCATCAAAACTTTATCAAGAAAAGTGACCCTCAGATAAATACTGTTTGACAATAAATAAGCTGCCAGTAGAACTTTGGAAGGAACAGGGAGAGATTTCACCAACAGAAAAAATTGAAGTAGATCTACAGATGGAAGAGACCAAAGTAGCTTAACTTTTCATTGTTATGGTTTTGAGGAATGTCTGTTGCAGGCACCTAAGTTTGGAAGTTAGGTTGTGCCATTTCCCCCTGCTGTCAGTGAAGAGGGGAGGCTCCTTGAGGCTGCATGCTGGAGCTGCAGCTGGACTGACATCTCCAGTGGTCTCTGGGGAACCCCGCCCCTTCCCACTGGCAGCACATGAAAGGATTTGAAGATAGAGCTGATAAATCAATAGCCCAAAATGAACACTGGGAAGACAGATGTATTTTTCCTTGTCTCAGCTGTGTTCTATACTATTTACTTGAGGCTTTTTGAGCCACAGCAGGTAATTCAGCCTGCCACTGACCTTTCTCAGCAGGCAGCTTCCATGTGATTCTGCGACTGGGAGGAGCTGGTGAGCCTCAGGTGTCAGGAGCTGGGCAAGGTACCTGCTGATTCAGCAAGAGCTCTGCTGGTCTTTGTTAATTGTAAATTACTTGGCCTGAGGAGATACTGGAGATTAAAGATGTGGCATTCAAAGTGTAGCATGTGTATTATAAGGGAAAATTTAAACTGTTTTCTTCGTCCCCTTAATGAAATAATTTAAAAAA